AAAATAGTTCCAAACAAAGATCAGAACAGAATTATTGCGCACATTCTCCAAGCCACACCCGGCGTTTTTGTTACTGAATGATTCAGAGGTTTGAAGGAATCTGTTTAATGAGTAAGTGACTTACCGCCACCTACTGGTGGTTTAGTCTCATGCTTAAAAGTATGCATTTTTCCCCAACATTTCTTACTTGTATGTTCAACATTTTATTTACAACATTAATCCCATAACATTATTTATTGCTGTTGTAATTTTGTAATTATTTAATTTAATTGGTAACAGCCCTGTAGTTTATTACATTTCTTGATCAATTGTAAGAATTTGACTTGAAAGATGACGCATACATTTAATAAGGTAAAAAAAAAATTGGCCATTATAAAGGTAAATGACATCCTGTGGTAAATATTAAAAACATGCAGATTTAAGTATGTAAAAGCTGACAGAAAACTGATGAAAATATTGCTTCAGAATAAATGGTTTACACCACCAAAAATCTCGGTGATGCAACACTTTTGTTTTGTGGGAATATTTTGTATGGGATATTGTCTGCTGATATGAAAAGTTCACTGTATATCTTAATAACAAATATAATTTTTGACAGCGATGATATTTTGTTTTCTTTTTACATTTAAACGCATTAAATATTACATATACGTATGTAATATAATGTGTATTTCCATCACAGGCTTGGGCTTAAATTTCACATAAGGTGGTATTAAAAAGGTCTTAAATTGAACTTGTTCATATCTGTAGACACTAGGGCTGTGTATCACCAGCAAAGTCACGATACGATACGTATCACGATAAAGATGCCACGATACGATACATATCACGATACATGACTGCACTGAATTTCATGCCATTTCTAACTATTGGCAGAGCAGGCAGCTGATCTCTGCATTATGAAGGGCCTCCATAACTGTACCACAGTACAATATAGGTAATTGCATATGTTTCATGTTTACATTGTGCACTCCCCACCAGGTACAATATTCAGATTTTTTGCATCTTGTTTTTAAGCCCATAAATAAAAATGTACTTGTTCTAATAAATTTATATTGTAATGTACTCATTCTAATATATTTAAAAAATCATTTACATTGCTGGTAGGTTATCATTGCACAAATTAACACGCTCTCTACAATAAAAAAAATAAATAAATTAGAAGAGTTCTAACCTAACGCGATGTCGTCATTGCATCTAACGCACACACGCTCAAGGCTGATTTCTACTCGATACGTCCGCAAGTTCGCTTTGAGTGCGCGCGACGTCGTTACGCGTGGCGGTGTGCACAACATTTTTTGTAACTTTCCGCGCAGCTCCGCTTTCGAAGATGCACGAGTTCAAAGCGACTCTAGCCGAACAGAAGCAGTTTGGTGTTAAGTTCAGTCACACACACAGATCACGTTGCGGCCAAACTCAGACATTCAGGAACAAACTTTTTAGCGCTGCCCCGCAGTTTTATCAACTAAATAGCTTAATCGCTCTAGAGCTACATTATCTTTCTCAACAAGGTGCTGGTAGCATCATTGTTTCTAAAGGAATTAAAGCCACAGCTTTACTGTTAATAGAGAAACGTGGCAAAACAGTGGTAATTCATACATACACAGCCTCTCTCTCTCTCTCTCTCTCTCTCTCTCTCTGTGTCGTAAATTAACATTTGATGAATCACACTTTTCTGAGAATAGACTTGAAGTGGAGATTGCTAAACTGCAAGCTAACCAGTGTTTTCAGAAAGCAAGCGCGTTTATCCACAGTGGAGGGAGAGTGCGTGAGCATATGGTTGCCAGGTTGACAAAGATAAGTAGCACAGTTAGCAGATATTTCCGTATTGTGCAAGTGTGAAGCTCTGTTTTGGGGATTACGTCTCTTTATATCAGGCAACCCAGCTGTGTTCCTCTGCGGCCAGATTATTAACAGATGCTCTATTCATTCTTTTTGAGAAACCTCTAGCACTTTTCTACTCCATTTTAAATGTTGTAAAATTAAGCGTGGTCCACTGCTGCACACGTGCCACAATATCGATACAGGGCCAGCTGTATCAATACTCGTATCGTCAAATCTCTGTGACGATACATCGTCATTTCGATATTTTGAACACACTCGTTGCTGTGAAGACCTTCAAGTTTCTGTTTGTAGCTTTTGATATGAAGATAGTTTTTCTCAAAAGAAACGGTAAAATGCTCATGAAGTGACTCTCAGAGCAGTTCTAGAGATCATGTTCATGTGTTTGTGCTCATATATTGAGGCAGCAGAGGCTGAAAACACCGCAAGCGTCACACGCGCTTTAGTGTTTGTGTAACATTAGTAAATGAAACCGTGCGTCTGTGCCATTAATTCATTCAGAACATGCAGGATTCATATTTAATAGTATTTTTGCAGCTTAATATTCACAGGCACTAGTCCATATCACATTTTGATTTAAATGTACTTACCTACTTTTGATTTATCCATCCTAAAATATACAGTAAAATAAGTTTTTATGACTGGATTCCATGATTCCATCCACGTTTTCTGTATCGTGGAAATTTTAGGGCATTATAATTATCCAATTACTCGATTAATCGTCTGAACAATCGACAGTTTACTCGATTCCCAAAATAATGGTTAGTGACCGCTAGGGATGGGTACCGAAACCCGGTATTTAATCGGTCCCGGGGCTAAATTATGAAAGACCGGAGTATCGATAAGCTCTGAAGTTAACAGTTCTGCTATCGGTACTGAAGAAATTAAGAAAACACACATACATTTATTATTACTATATATACATTATCTTGCAAATTCTATCTCACCAGAGTCGCCAGCTGTTTTTCAAACATTTGTCTACGATGCATTTTTGCTATTCGCAATTCAGAAGCGAGATCTTGGCTTCTAAGGATTATACAAAAGACATGAGGTAAAGCTATTAAAAACTAGCTGCGTTTCGTCTTGCGCAACTTCTTTCCCTTCACAGCGGTGTACATTCGTTCCTCCCTAAAATCCAAACTTAACGTCAGAATCAGCTCAATCGGTGATTGTTGTAAGATGCCGTCTATACTGTTGCTAAATTGCGGGACATGTTTGATAATAAAACGTTGAAAGCCCAATCCGCACGAGACGCTGTTCCTCAGGCTGAAATGTGTGCACGCGGCGCGCTCCAATACGGACAAACAAATTACACTTTGAGCTTCGGGTGCCTGTCCAAATGATCAAATACACACACAAATGTCAAAATGGCCGGCTTGGAGAGTATTTACTTAAACACAGTTTATGTCTTAAGTGGAGGAGAACAGTTGGGAGAAAATCCGATGTGTGTCAATATATTGTCTTAAAGTGTCAGACTGGCGCTTGGGCCATCAAAATGCAAATCTGCTCTTAATCTGAATAACGTTATAGCTTTAATAAGCATTAATCTATCAATACATATGCTGAGAACTATGCAGTGTTCATTTACATTTGATTACTTTTAGATTTCTTTTGTAGGCTATTACCTGAACAGTAATGTTAGTAGAACTTCATGGAAAAATTACAGCACTGTTTATTTCATTTAATTTGTATATTTGTTTTATTGTATTTGGCAGTTTGTTTTACTTTGTTTCTCTGTTCATGTTCTTACTGTATCTTATCTTATGTATAAAACACTAAAAATGCCTGCACACTGGTGTATTTACAAATTGATTTCATTAAATATTTATTTTACATTTCAGAATATAAATCAATGTTAATTCAGCTCTTAATTTGTCATATATATATATATATATATATATATAAAACAAAAAGTACCGATAAGAATACCGTTAAAGTACCGAATCGATAAGCAGTATCGGTAAGAGTAGTAATACCGTTAAAACCTTAACAATACCCATCCCTAGTGACAGCCCTAATGGCTTCATATGTGTGTTTGTAGATGAAGGCCAGACTGAGTATGGATAAGGTGTACTTGGCTCTTCAGAGTGCCGGTCTCTCTGCTGAGAAAACCAAACTGGAGACGGACTGCAGGGACAGTTCATCTGAACTCAAGCGAGCCGAGGTGAGACCATCTGTCACACATGAAATGTCATTCACAATGCATTTTATTTCCGTAATCGAACATTTTTTGAGTAAAATGGGATCAACAAATCCCGATCAACGATTTAGTCAACAAATAAATGTAAAGGTATTTTTTTTAAACCCAGTTCAGTTGTTGTTCTTATACAAATTATCATGTAATATTGCGTTAATACAATTACATTTTAGTTTAAAAGTTTGGGTTAGTAACATTTATTATCTGGTTAGAAATTAGTTCTTTTATTCAGCAAGGACACATTTAATAGTAATGTAATAGTAAGACGTCTTGTATAATGTTACAATAATATTTCTATTTCAAATAAATGCTGTTCTTTGTTTATAATAGAATCCTGATTTCCACAGAAATATGACGCACCAAAACCGTTTTCAACATTGATAATAATCAGAAATGTTTCTTGAGCAGTAAATCAGCATATTAAAGGATCATGTGACACTGAAGACTGGAGTAATGATGCTGAAAATTCAGCTTTGATCACAGAAATAAATTACAGTTTAAAAAAATATTCTAGTAGAAAACATTTCTTTTAAACTGTAATATTTTACGTTATGACTGCTTTTATTTTTAATCAAATAAGTGCCATGTTGGTGAACAAAAGAGACTTCAACAATATTTAAAAATCTTACCAACTCCAAACTTTTGAATGAAGAAATAATCATCTATTTTGTCATATTCTTTATTTAAAAGATGACATGATTTGTTTAAATTTGTAGTAACTGTCTTATTATTCCGATTGGCAACTTACATTTCAGGATAATTCAATATATTTTAATTTAGTCAACAAGAGCATGCTCTCATATCTCATCTTGATTAAAAATTCCTCACCCACTGATGAATCGCGCACAGTAAGAACACGTGTCTGTGTGTTCACGCAGGTGGTGTACACCAAACTGGACCAGGCAAAGAACAATCTGTTGGCCACGTGTAAGACCCTGATGAGGAGGGCCAGTGAGATCTGTAACATGACCCCCGGAGAGACGGCCGTCCCAGAGGAACTACACAGAGTGAGCTCCGTCTAACTCAGACACCCCACATCCTTCATTCAGCCTTTCATTCATTATTTTAAAAAAATTTCTGCATTGTTTCCTCTCAGGCCTTCAGCCAGTTGCCTGATACACTGGATGAGGTTGATGCCATGCTGAATGAGGAGAAGACCAGAGCCGAGTGCTTCACCGGCCTCAGTGATGCTGTGAGACAAGCGCATCAGCTCATTTATGCTTAGCCTGACCTCTGCCTTTAAAATGTTACTAATCAATCCTTACTTCACTTCTTACTGAAAGCTTACATCAAGAAGAGCCGGTGAATGCAGGCATCTCCAAAGCCCAAAGTATACTTCAGTGTTTTACTCGTACGCAAGCGTATGTGTACAGTCAAACGCACAGAATTTCAGAGTATACTCCAGGGTTCGTACGGTCATGAAAAACCTGGAAAAGTCATGGAATTTTAAAACACCAATTTCCAGGCCTGGAAAAGTTTTGGAAAAATAAATAAACCCAGAAAGTTTTGGAAAAGTTATTGAAATCTATTTCACAAAACTCTGTATAATAGTATTGTTTAATCAGGTCCTGAATTTCGGTGCAGGATTGTGCATAGGCTATATTGCATAGTTTTACTCATTCCCGCAGCTTTTGACTTTAAAATGATGGATATTCACACATTTATTCAATAGCCTATAGCATGTAGGTTTGATGAGTAACTAATCAAACCTACAGACTGAGTCCAGTCCACACAGACTGATCAAATCAGTCATTTGAAAACAGCGTGAGTGATTCAGCTGTACTCTCTGTACTTCTCTCTTTGACTTTCTCTTCAAACGGCTTACATCGGCGCATCTTGTCTGCGCTACAAGAGCCGCTGCACGCTACGATACAAGACTTTCACTCGTATTTCGGGACAGTTGACAGAATTGTCACTTGCCTAATCGGGTCATTGTTGCATCGTCAGAAAATTTTATTATTTATTTGCACGTCTTTTTAAGCCATTCGGTCCTCGCGCGCTCCAGAGGCGGTGCGCAGTCACATCCAAAGTGCGCTCGTGCGTATATAAAGCCACCTTGCCAGTACCAAATTGAGTTTGCAACCAAATAAGCTCAGCAGAACCCTGCACGGGCCTCAAACACATGCCCTAGTCCGGCCCTTATCCGACAGATTATCAGAATTACTGGCCGAGTCCAACTGGAGCCCGTGTCTTTTTTTCTGTTTCTCTCTTTCCCAATTACACCGCTGCTGTTGTAGCCATTAAAATAGTTCAGTTTCGTTTTTAATGGCAAAAGTGGTTATATATATTTTCGTCTCTTTATTACGTTAATTTATAAATACGTTTGGAAAATGTTTTTGTTTAAGTTCAAGTTTTTTTTTTTTTTTTAAAGTAACGACCAAGCGGCCAGTGGCAGACAGTGAGTTAATCATAGCCT